CTCTCCTCATGAATGATAATTTAAATGAACAGGAGTTGGCCCTATTATGGTATATGAATAATTAGTTAACATACCTCCAGCAATATTTTATCATGAACCCACTACTGAGTTTTTCTTAGTTACCATGTTTTTGCAAGGTGACTTTGTAAAAAAAAAAAAAAAATGTCCATTGCTGGAAGATCATTTTGTGGGCTTGCCTCAATAACACATCTTCTCCTCTTAATAAAAAAGGGTGATACTAAAATTCTTTAGATAAAAGAAAGTTTCACACTGCCAAATTTCAGTGTCTATGAATTTATAAACCAAATCTGAATAACTAGATAAAAAGACATTTATTTAAAGACTAGGAAGGGACATAAATAAGTAACAGCTATATAATAAGGCTTAGAAAATACATGTATGGTTGGGACCACTCCAGATTTTCATTAAGAGACTATCCTTGGAATAAAATCATATAAATTATTTTTTCTTTGTACTTCATTCTTACTGAAAAGTACTAGGAGAAGAAGTCCAATTGGTTTAGATGTCACAATTCTGCCCTTTCATTTAAAAAAATATCAAATATATTGATGGAAAGATCCACCATAACCTGATATAGTGGAGGTAGAACAATTCTAGAAAGAAGAAAAAAAAAAGGAGATTATCTGAATTAAATCAGGGGAAATGGATGCAGGATAGCTAAAATGCAAGAAACATTTAAGAAAGTTTCTTCAATAGACCAATAAAGTGAATTTTGTGAACATGTAGTCCATTAAGATGTCTCCACAGTACATAAAACACTTTTTAAAATAATGTCCTTTCTGATCAGCCATTCTGAAACAGTAGGCATGCATAAGGAATAACAGCTGAGTATGTCAGCATTAACTATGTAGCTAATTATAACACAAGAAGTCAATGTGTATAGTAGTGTAGTGTTATGCTATTCAAAGTATGTTCCATGGACTAGCAACTTAGATTCTTAGATGAGCCCATGAATCAAATTCTGCTTTTTAAAATTATATCCAGCTGATTTGTTAATAGAGAAAGTTTGAGAAGTTCTAGAAGCAAATCACAGCTGAGAGTAAAAATGGGAAAAAGAGACTTCCTTTTTCTAAAACTCCTTTTCCTTAAACCTTCAGTAGAATCATTCAGGCAGCAGGTATGATAACATCAAAACCTGAGGAGTCACTGCAATCAACAGTCACACAAGTGGAGAGAGCAGAAGCAAAACACCAGAAAATAGGGTAAATCTGAGGACTGGTCACAATCCCAGGTTTTGCTCCAATAAATAAATGTGAACAGAATGGCAGCTTTGTACCAAATAAACTCCCAATATCCTTGGACATTAAATTGGGTAAGAAGACCCAATGGTTCATGGTTGTAATACAATTTTTTATATGCTGAAGACTTTCATTTTACACATAAATTCTATCCTCTTTTCATGGTTTAAACTCATAGATTCTACCAATCATTTAGTATTTCTAATTGGATATTTAATATCCACTTGACTTTACATGTCATTATTAAAATGCTTAAAACAGAAACCTGAATTCCCAATCCCAAACCTGATACTTTCTATTCTCCTCTACTTGGATAAGCAGGGCCATTATTATGGGTTAGTTTAGCCAAAATATGAAGAGTCATATTTTACTCCTGGCTTTCTTTTATACCTTCATCCAATATACAGCAAGTCTGTTGTTCCTTCCCTAAAATAAATGATGAATCCAAATAGTTCTTACCACTTTTCTTATGACCCCCCCTTAATCATTATAGACTGCTGAAGATCCCTTATTTTCTTGCTTTATTCTATTTTCTTGTCTCTTCAGTCAATTTACCACAGTGCAGTCAATATGTTTATTTTAATACCTAAATTATATCGGATCACTCCTGTTCAAAACTTCTAGTGGCTCCCATCACCATCTGAATAAAATATAAATGCGTCCTTCGCCATGCAATATCTGGTTTTGCCTATTTTCCAATTCCATTTCTTATCAATCTCCACCTTACTCATAATCCCGATTTCTATCCACACTGATGTCTAATCCTTCACTTCATAGAGCTCTACCTTGCATTAGAATCTTTGTAGTTGCTATTTCATTTTACTGAAATATCTTGTTCTCAATACCAATTCTGCTTAGAGGCCTTCCTTGATTACTCTGTCTAAAATAGCCTCTGTTACTCCCTATTCTTTTGGTTTCATTTATCTGATATTATATGATATAATTTTATGTTTTACGTATACTTTCACTAAAATATAAGCTTCATTAAAGGCAAGAACTTGGTATTTCTTATAAATTATGTATCTTATTCTTTAATACAAATACATTTAATCAGTACTTATAAAATATTTTATGGAGGAAATGTGAAGAGAAATAAAAATTCATGTCCTTGAAAGAGTAATTGAGAGAGAGTATTATATATCATTACAGGTGGTTGAGGCCATTTTACTAGTTAAATATGTCTTAAACTAGATATGGAAAGAGGATTCGGTGGAAAAAATAACTGAGAAAGTCAAATCATTTACAATATCGCTTTTATGGAAAAACAAACACACAAAATAGCCACTAAGTACATGATATAAGATGTATTTCACGGATTCATTAACAGAATATCTACTATGTTCCAAGAATCCCGCCAGAACCATGAATCACAAATGGGAAAGAGAAGCAAGTAATGTAAATCTCAGGTCCTCAGACATAGAACAGATAATATTATGACCTTCTAAAACGTTTCAACAAAGCTACACAGCAAAGAATATTGTCTTTGACAAAATCCATCAAAGTCATATTTTCATTTTTTTCATTTTTCTGTTCTTTGTCCCCTCTGTTGATTTAATCAAGAATTCCTAATTCTGTCTCAAACTTTTACAGAATAATCATGGCTTTGAACTATTTATTTACAACTCCAAGGTTATAAGATGTTCATTTTTCATGATGGCTCAGCTTTTATCTAAACTACATTCATTTAAAGCCTGAACAGAAATTTTCTGTAATATTTTTCACTTGATCACATTTAGAAATAATCAAATTTGCAGGATTATTCAGAATGCTAAAGCAGCCAAGACTTGAGGTTTTTGATGAGATTCTCAACATGAACAATCATCTCTCTTTCTTTTTTAAAAACACACTTATCCTCATAATGCTATTGGCCATGCTAAAAATTTTTCATGGTGACTCAGACTTTTGTTAACACTCTCCTTATAAGCTAGTGATGTTTAATCTGAATGATAGGTAACTCTGTGAACCCTTGAAATGACATGAAAAATATAGGGCACAGCCCTTTTATATCAGAGGAGTTTGAAAGAGGATCTGGTCTTCTGCAGCTTTGTGACACCAATCGCACCTAACTCAGAAGGGTGGACCAGATCTCTAGTGATTTAATGAATTTTTGTCATCTTATTATATACTCATTTGAGCAGACTCTAAAGTCTGATATAGATGTTATCATAGGTTTTATGTTTGCCTTCAAAATTGAACACTTACTTCTCTAACAATGCACAGAAAACTTGCAGTCACCACAAATTTTCTATCAGAAAGCATCAAACATACTTTACTGCATGTGCTGACAATAATTAATCATGTTAAAATTGTATGGCCTGAAGTACAAATAATAAGATAAAGTAATAAAATAAAATTTGAAATACTAATTTCACCAAAAAGTACTCTTCCAAATATATCTTATCTAGAATCACTAGCATTCCTGTTGTTGGTAACTTATGAAATGTGTTAGCTTAAGTGTTTAGGGGTTTTTAAACTGTAAGTAATTAAGCTTTTCTATCAAATCAAATAATGAAAACATATTACTTGATTTTTAGTGATTATCAGTACATGAACTAGAAAAAAGTGAGACTAGAGAAAAACCAGGATGGCGGCATAGGTAAACACTGGAAATTGCTGCCTTGCACAACTACTTCAAAAATACAACTAAAAGACAAAACAGACATCATCCAGAACCACAGGAAGGCTGGCTGAGTGGAAATTCTACAGCTAGAAGGAAAGAGAAAAGCACACTGAGACTCAGAGGAGATGCGGAAGTAAAGTGCAGAGGTACGGAGGTGCACGTGGAAAGGGCTGGCAACTGAGGACACGGTTGTCTTTTTCAATCGGGAGGGAGTCTCAAGCTCCCAACTGGTCTAAACTCCAGTTCCGGGCAAGTCTCTGGGAACCCAGACTCATACGGGGAGAAACTGGACTGTCTGGCATCAGTCGGAATTCGAGGGTGGATTTCTCTCAGAGGTGCTTGTGGCATTACCGGGACACTGAGACACGGGGCCTCTTAGGGTAGGACTGAGGATCAGCCATAGCTGTTTGCTCCGCCCTGTTGATTCCCTGAGACCCTGCCCCACCCAAGCTGTGCTCAGAGGCTTTTGCATATGAAAGCCCTGGCCCTTTGCAATCTGAAAATTACCTAACAAACTGCAGCTGGGTCAGAGAGACCCAGAACTTCCAAAAGAAGGTCCAATGCCCTACAGCAGCTTGCATTGCTTCACAGCTGGGACTCATCTGGGCACCTCCAAACCCCAAATAAAGAGGAATCTGCAGATCTCTCCATAGCTCCTGCTGGGTAGCCTCAGGCAGAGGCTAAATTAGCACCTCCTTAGAGATCCAAGAGCCAGTGTACCCAGTGGTCAGAGTGGGACCATCCAGATTACAACTCCTCAGATCCATAAGGGACACACTCAGGGGGCAGACTCAGTGAGCACCAAAGCCCCACTGAAGCAAGTCTTGCCCCAGAAGGGTGTCTCCAGCACAGAAGTTCTCCCACTGCAGACACAGCTGATTCTCACAGCCAATTGGCCTGGAGGTCAATTCCTCCCAGTGACACCTAAAACAATCAAGGCATAACTACAACAAGACTGTGCACAAAGCCCACAAAGGGGTGCAACAAGAGTGTCCAACTCAGGTAATTGGGGAGGCTGAGCCACTGGGCCCTATAGGACACCTAGCACACAAAGCCACTCTACCAACACAGGGAAGCATAAAAAATGCAGAGACAAAGAAACAGATCACAAATGACAGAAATGAAGGAAAGAAAACTACTGGATATAGAATCCAAAACCACACTTATAAGGTTTTTCAAGAATTTTCTAGAAACCACTGATAAATTTAGT